GACCCACCTTGATGGTGGACGCCGGCAGCAGTGAATCCTGTTGTACGACCTGGATCTGCTGCTGCTGCTGGGCCCCCTGCTGTACGTAGGCCAACAGGTGGCCCCCCGGGCAGGTGGCGAAGGTGGCGGGACACATGTTGGCGGGGGGGTGGCCCTGACCGTCAGGCACCACCCAGATGTGCTTCTGCGGGGTGGGGGGTTGGGGGGTGGGGGGAAGACCACGAACCACGAACGGGTGTGTGAACTGGGTTTGGGGGGAGGTGAGGGGGGTTCCCGGGCACTTAGGGTTCAGGGTTGGCTGGGCTTAGTTGGATCGTTTATGTGTGTATGCCAAAGGGAGGCGAGCGCTTTGAGTAGAAGTTATTGCATATATGAGGGCGAGGAGGAGGAGGAGGAGGAAGAGGAGGAGGAGGGGGAACAAGGGGGAAAGGTGTGGAGGATGGGACGGGGGTGGGGGGCGGGAAGCAGAGGCGGTTTTTTTTCTCCAAAGGAGGGGTGGAGAGGGGGTCATTGTGTCGGGAAAACGCCGGGAGAATGGGGAGGACCAGGGGGAGAATGGCGGCAGAGGGGGGCCATGTGTGTATTAGGGAGGGAAGGAGGGAGGTGTGTAAAAAGGATAAAAACATAGTGATTTGGGTTGATGTGCAGGGAGATGGGCGAGGAGGAGAGGGATGGAACATGAAGAGAGAGAGAAAGAGAGTCTGGAGGAGTGCGGATGAGAGTGGTGGTCGGGATGTGAGGTAAAGGAGGGGGGTAAGACGAACCACTGGCGAATGGAGCAGATACAAAAGACGGGTAAAGGAGAGCTGTGAGACGTGAATGGATGGTTAGGGGGTTGGATCCGTGTCCAAGGGGATGGAATGGGTTTTTCCTGAGGGGGTGGTGGAACAGGCTGCGCCTTCCCCCGTAGTATGGAGGAGGTATGACACTGGCAGAGCAGACCCCGGCGCTATGGGCGGAGACTCCAACACATGCAACACGCCGTGCAAGACACCCATAGGACTGTGGATATGGGTTTGGTCTTAAAGCGAGTACTCTCACCTGCATGCCAGTCTCCTTGTCGTGGATGATGACGCCATGGCCGCTGGCATAACAGAGGTTTGTTTCGTCGAGGAAACAAACCCGGCCGCCATAACCAGCAGAAGTGATTGCGACTACGTCCATTCCACGCTACTGGCTTTGAAGCACCGGCAGCTCGATTTACATGCTCATCATATTATATAGGCCGCGGGAAAGCCCGCCGCTGCAGCATAAAACCATCGATGTTCATGTTATGTTAGTTCAAAATAATAATCATTCACGGCAACTGGGTAAGTTAAAGGCTTCGACCAAAGGCTTTCAGTACTTGTGCGTATCTTGTCACTTAGGTTTACAGTACTAGTTAAGAGGGTTATGCAGATGTTCGGGAATCTCTTCACCCTAACCCAACACAGAATTGTCACCGCTGACCGCTCGTCAATTCTACCGTACAATCGTTTTTGTGCCTCCAGGTCACAGAGTTAGTGGGTTCGTCGCATTCTCTGCTGCAAAGTAACTGACACTACAATGATATGATTTGTATTAACTTGTAGCTGTTTTCCTTCACCTTCGAAGTTTCGATGTAGCGTCTTTTCAACCCTTGCGCACAGCGTTAAATGGCCGCGGGCTAGCATGTCAATCTATCAGCATAATCACCTAGAAGACGATTCCGGGACTAACTAGGATGGCGACTATGGTGCATTCCCCGACTGTCCTGGATGGGCGCGGGCTGAACTCTAGGGAGAATGGCGCTTCACGTGAGGGAGCCAAACGTACGTTCAAGGAGAAACTTCACACGTTAATTGCGGAGGCCGAGGCAGCCGAGGCACAGGCTTTCCGCGAGTCGCAGCTCGCGGACAAGAAATCGCTATGCGTCCAATTGCTCGTGGAGGGCCGGCCGCAAGCATTTGTCGACTTTTTCAGCCTGACGCACAGCCGGCCACCGGCGCCACCTCCGGCGAGCGATGGCACTGAATCGACGTCGGGACAGGACGATGATGTCCCCCAGGAGGCGCTGGGACTGCTGCGCGTTGAGCTGATAAAAGCCGATAACGCACTGCGCGCCGGCGACACCCAGGCTGTGTACGCAGCTTACAAGAACCTGGCTAAATTCTTCGCGCAGATAGGGCGACTTCGCAAGGCGGAGTTCTTCTTCCGACGCTGCCTGCGGCTATCACAAGACACGCAGGTGCTCGGGGGTTGAGGTAACCGAATTGGGTACCCTGAAACACGCACACGGGAACGACATGTACCCGCCATGGGAGGCACGCATAATCCGGAGCCCGCGTAGCGTCCTCTTGCCACGCCCTTGGGATTTAGTTTAAAAACAAATCCAGATCCAGATCATGATATTTGGGGGGAAATGTGCGGGGGGGGGGAAAGCGTACCGTCGTGTCGTATCGTCACTGGGTGCGGTACGACATACAATACAGGGGTTGTTACATCTTAACGAGACACCACCCACAAGGCCCAAACACCGTGTTGTCGTACAACCTCCCTCCTCGTCGTATACACTCTTTTCGAGAATATACTCTTAATACCTAGTTTCCTTCCGTCTCTTCCATATGTACGGCAGCCGTACCACCTCTGGCCACTTTTCTCCTCCCTTTCCTCCCTCCTCAATAACACTGCAACCCCCGAATAGCAAGGTTCTAACACGCCGTACATTGCCATGCACGTACCTGTCGTACACTCTCGAAAAAAAACACAGTGGCTTGCGGGCGAGCTTGAGGCCAATTTGGCGTTGGGAGTGGTGTACGAGGAGCTGCTGGAGACGCAGGCAGCCATCGAGTGCTACGAGCGGCGCCTGACACTCGCTTCCGAAAATCAGTTATCGTTAGAAAAGGACGCGGCCTACCACAACCTGACCACGGTGTACCTGCGGCAGGCCGAGGTGCAGGAGAGCAGCGGACAGACCGACGGGGCAATACAGTCGTACAACAAGTGTTTGTCGGCGGCGGAGCGGTCTGGTGATAACGGCGTGGCGGCCAGGGCCAACTACCGCATAGGTGGGTGGGTGGAGGGAGAGGGGTTTTGGGGGGGGGGTAGAAGGGGGTATATCCGTAAGGAGCTAGGAAGAGCTAGGAGGAGGTGGAAGGGGCAGCTGTCGAAAGGGGGGTTTCGGGAGAGGGGCCGGGGGGCCGTGGATTCTATTCGGTTCCTTGGATCCAGATTTTGAAAGAACCTCCAGTTGACGGGAGTACGACAGGTGTGTGTGGGCTTNCAGGCGTTGGAAGAGCCGTACTGGTGCAGAAGAGGTGGAGGTGGGGGGGGCGGGGTGGGGGGGCGGGGGGCCGGTGTTGGAAAGCAAAGCTATTCTGCGGTGTGCGGGGGGGAGACACAACGCCCGGTTGTGGGGTCCGGGAGGGGAAGAAAGGACCCCCTCTGAGCGCTCACGAGGTACGACACGGTAGGCGGTACGACACGGCGGCAAGGGGGACGTGATACCGGGGTACATGCTGCGGGTCGAGATTCGGGCACACTACGTACAAACAGGCATAGACACAAACACACTCTCACACACACACACACACTCTCACACACACAATACCCACACTCACACTTCCTCCTCTCTCAACGACAACGTGCCATAAACACACACACTCTCTCTCCCCCCCCAGGCATGTTGTTCCACGAGCAGAAGAAGCACCTGGAAGCAGTGCACTACCTGCGCCAGTTTCTGGAGCTCGCGGCCCACATGCCCGACAAGGACAAGGACCGGTCCGCCATGGGTACGGCATATGCCGCCTTCTCGTCCTGTCTTGGCGACATGGGGGATCCGGAGGCCGCGGTGAGGTGTCTGCAGGAGTACCTGCAAATGGCGCGAGGAGGGGACCAGTACGGCACCGCGCTGGCGAGCTGCAACCTGGGCATTATGCTGTACGAGCAGGTAGGCGGGAGAGTACGGATAGGTCTCGTGTGTGTGTTTCGCTGTGTGTGTGTGTATATCTCTTGATGATAATCAGCGCCGTGCGTATGTTTGTAAGGTCGGCAATCTTGCTGCCGTGAAGAAGGGCAGCTCTCTCTTCCCCTCCTCCTGGCAGCAGCTTCACTCGTTCGTGGTTCATCTTTCCCCACCTCCCCCTCGGGAGGTCCTAAAACCTGTCCTTCCTTCACTTCCTTTCGTTCACGACACGTCAACTCCGGCATCCGTACTTCGCCCCGTACACCCCCCCACCCCCAAAACCATCTTTGGAGCACGCACACAAACCCATACCCCCTTTCCCCCCCTTCCCCCCGGGGGCCACTCGCGCACAGGGCGATTTGGACCAAGCAGTGTCGTACTTTGAGAAGTTCTTCGAGACGGCTCGTACTCTGAACGACCGTCGCATGCTGGACACCGCGCGGGTGAACCTGGGTGTGGCTCGCGGGGCTCTGCGCATGGGGGCCTGGATGTCCGTGGTGGCGGGCAACCTGCCCAAGCTCATCTCCTGGAAGAGCTCCCGAGTACCCTTCACTGACCATTAATACAGATGATGATGATGATGTTGATGGTGATGATGATGATGTATATCATCATCACCACCATCGTCACCATCACGTTATGTGTTTGTGTGTGGGGGGGGTGTGCGCCTGCGGTACGAGGGTTGGGAAAGGGTGTGTCGCGACTAACGGTGGCGTTCAGAGGCGCCTCCCTCCAGGGGCCTGATGAACGAAAGGCACCTAGCAGTGGGGGAGCCATCGGCGGCGGCGGCGGCGGTGGGACTTGGGGCTTGCGGTTGAAGAGCAGGCACGATACGCAGTGAGGTGGTGGCGCAATGAGGTTTGCAGCTGCGGCAGCTGTGTGCACAAGGACGGGGCCCGGGGGGCCCAAGCGAGGGCGGAAGGGTGTCTGTCTACCAGGGTTTGTGGGGGACTGGGGAGGGAGAGGGGGGGGGATGAAGAGATGGACCTGTTGGGTTGGAGCGCTATAACCCACACCGCAATAACTACAGCCCCCAAGGCACGGGACTCCCTCTCTGTGTGGGGGTGTGTGGGGGTGAATGAATGAATGAATGTGTTTTTTGGGTGTGTTTTCTGTAAGGTATGGCCGCGAGGTTGGTGTTGCTGCAGTAGGCGGGAGGTAGGGCATTACGGCGTTGACTGCATGACGTCATGTGATGTGGTGTGATGAGTGACGTGACGCATTTTGTGTGGTCATGGCTGCATTGCTGCAAACCCTCTCACATCTGGTCGCATGGGGCACATCGACATATCCTCACGACCAGCTGGTTGGTCATTATCAGGACAGCAGTAGCAGCAGCAGCAGCAGTAGCAGCATTAGGTGGCGCATGAGGAGCCGCTGCACAAAGAGACAACCCTAAGGCCCCTCATGGCGCGACGAGGAGTTCATCACACACACAGCGGTATAAGTTATGTGTACGGCCCCCACCCCCACCCCCACCCCCTTCCGAAGCCGCCCGTCCAGGGCGGCCCGACCTTCCGAGCCCCCGCCACCGCCACCTCCACGGGAAATGGCGCAGTTCTATCTGCTATCTTCTTCTGCATGAACGTCTGTCTCCCTGAAGGACGGAAGTACGTATGTATGTACGTATGTCTCTCTTAATGGCGGGTCTAATACGTGGCAGTAGATCGCTTCATCTTCTGGCGATGCCGGAGTTTTGCACTCTGTAGCGGTAGCAGCCGGCCCTCTCTGTGCAGAGTCTCTCTCTCTCCTCCACCCCCCGGGGGTGTCGACCTACAGACCCCCCTACCGCGTTGTTGGAAACCTACGGTATCTGGATCGTTCCCAAGGCTGCAGACGAACAAACATACAGACAAGACAGATTGCACGGCTGTCGCATCGGGCTCCCAGAGCTTTACAAAGAAGCGGGGTTTACAAACGCCACACAAACGCCACACACACACACACACCTCCTCTGGCTCATGGAGAGAGTAAGGTGTGAGGCAGCACACCATCATCACCACTATCTCTATCACCAGTATAACACTTTACTCAGAGCGGCCCCAAGAACAAACAATCGGTCACTGGGGGTGTCGCACTGGGAGCACTGAGGAGGGGTGCCCACGACGGCTTTCATGGAGATTCAAACAGTCCATTGAGAGCTCCACCGCGCGCCCCCTTGTGTGGAGTGTGTGTGTGTATGATCGTGCGTAGCGGGGCGGGTGAGGAGCAGGAGGTGCTTCCCACAAACAGGCTATGGGTCGGCGGTCAGCCTCCTCAGTATCACTGGAATAGAATGGAACGGAACGAAAAGAGGCCGACGGGGACTTGTGTGCTGTATGCGCCGTGACGCCTCTGCTGGACCTGCTTCCTCCATATGAGAGACCTCTCCTGGAGGAGGGGAAAGTGAGGAAATCTGGATCCAAATCCAAAGGATCCAAACGCACACGGGATCAGATCTGATCTCCAAATTTAGATCGGGATAGCCCAAACCCCTCCTCTTCCTCCGCAAACCGTCTACGGTGCCGTTGTGTCCATGAGCTCCTTCCCCTCATCCTTCACCACCACCACCTCACCACCGCCCTCCCTGTGCGGTTCCTGCCCCTGCTGCTGCGATGTTTCCTGTTGCTGTTGCTGTTGCTGTTGTTGTTGTTGCTGCTTTTGTTTTGCTTGCTCATCCTGCCGCAGTCGAAGTGCCGCCAGACGCTGCGTCTCCTTGTAGTCGTTGCGCTTCCGTTTGAAATTCTGCATTTCCTCGGTATCGTACGCCGGTTTCCGCAGGCGCTTAGAATACGCAAACAGCTCGCCGCCTGGTTGTTGTTGTTGTTGGTGGTGGTGGTTGTTGTGCGTGTGTGTTGGGGAGAGGAAAGAGGAACGGAGCACAGTCGGTGTTTCTGACGAGGGTTGTGGAGGAACAATCACACGGGCGTGGGCCGCGAGGATTGCATTAAACTACGAACCAGGGGATGTATTGCCCTTCTTGTTGTTCTTCTTCTTCCCCATTAGGAGAAGACAGCCAACAACGTTAAATGGAGAATGAAGAGGAGAATGAGGAGGATGAGGATTAGAGAAAAGTTGTTTTGTTTCTTTTCTTCCGTACCTTCGGACAATTTGGCCTCCTCGTCCTCCTCTCGAACCTCCAGCAGTGCCCGTACAGGCGGCGGCAGCAGCTCCTCCGTACAAACTGCAAACTGCCCGTCAGAGCCCCGCTTCGCAACCCCGATATGCGCAGACTGCGGGGAGACAAACAGACAGACAGACAGGCAGACAGACAGACGCGTCAGCGAAACTCGCAGGGAACAGACAACAACAGGCAAAGAGGGAAGCTATGTTAGACCTAGGAACATGGGCTTAACTATCCAGAAGCACCTAAAGGGTATAATATGCCAAGAGGTTTCGACACAGAAATCGCCCAAGGCCGGAATCGAACTCGGGACGTGTCTATGCGGCAGGAAGAACACATTGCCCCCATGGCCAGTCTCCGGTTCAATCCCTATCTGACGCAATTCGTTACCACCCGCGCCCCATAATAAATCCCTCACTCACTTTGGCCGTCGGCAGTGGCACTCCCCCCACGACCCACAAGTGACCCATGGGTCCAAAGGCCACCTGGCAGGGATACCGAACATCCGGCCACCGCAGCCTCTGTCGCAGAGAAAGGCAGTGGGTAGTCCAGTCCAGGGACAGCAGCTGTATCTCGTCATCACCCTCCACTACGACAGCCACCGTACACCTGCACGGGCCGTCACGAGAAAGCCCAACATGGGCGCGGGGATTCAGGGGGTCCAGGGTTTTGGGGCGGGGGTGGGCTCGGGGTGTGGGGTGATGACATGCTGCAATGCAAGAGGACAATAACTGCAAAGGAATGCAAACGCCGACACGTCCGAAGCAATCCCCGCCGCAGGGGGAGGGATAAGGCCTTCTGTGAGTCATCGTACGCACGGCTGTAGACACCCACGTGTGGAGCACACAACGTCGCGCGTGACCCAGATGGGAGTAAAACCCGGGGAAACCCCTCTAAATGGAAGCGGGGTACGGGGGTGTAAAGCCACCCAAGGAAATCCTTCTCAAGAGAGGAGTCCATTTAAAACCCTAAAACCCGAAGCAAAACTTCCCTTAAAATCTGAGCAAAACGCACACACGCGCTGTAACTCACTCACTCACTCACTCACTCACTCACTCACCCGTCAGATGCCACTGCCAGACTCAGCACTGGTGCGCACTGGGGGCCCTTGCCCCGCCTCTGAGGCTCCTCGAAGCCGCCACCATCTCCGTCACCACCGCCGCCACCGACCCCCTCCCCCTCGCCTTCCCCGTCAACGTTGCCCCCGTCATCATCATCATCATCACCACCACCATCATCCCCCTCCTCCGCTGCACCGCCGTCAGCCTCGTCATCTCCCAATTCCCCGCCTCCGCCGGCCTCTTCGGGAGCGCTACTGCCGTCTCCGGCAGCGGCAGTAGCGGTAGCAGCCACCACAGCATCGCCTGTGCCCGCGGCTGCGCCGGCGGACGGCGCCGACGCCACGTACGACGCCAGCTCTGTACAGGTGCAGTAGTCCCACACCCGCACCGTACCATCGCCACTGCCGGAAAGCAACACGCTGGGCTGGCGTGCCGAGCTGGCGGAGACGGAGGCGTCCCCGGCGTCGTTGGTTTGCTGTACGGCAAAGGCGATGCACGACACAAACTCCTGGTGTCCTAGGCAGTAACCCTGGATCTCGTACGAGCCCTGTAGCAGATCCTGAGGCAGCACGCTTACGCGCACCTGCGGCCAAATAAAGCAACGGCAGCCGCATTACCCCCTAGTCGCCCCTCACCACCACTGCAGCGAGTTTTCTATGGGAGCTTATTTCTATGGGAGCTCCTGACACCACTCTTCTGATATCAACACCTACTTGAAAACGTATTAAGCTACGCCCGTCTACTTCTTCATTGGAAAAGTCAAACACCTCCTGGGATTGCGGAGCTCCATCGCTCTGGTAAAAAAAGTTATTCGTGTACCACACATCCATCGACATTTCCCTCATCGCGACTCAGATCGTTAAAACATTTCCCTCTCTCTCTCTCTCTCTCTCTCTCTCACACACACACACGCGCGCGCGCGCACACGCACACACGCGGGCGCGCGCACACGCACACACCTTATACTCCCGGTCGCTAGTCGCCAAGAAGCGGCCACAGGGCGAGGGCGCCACACCCGTCACGATGGTACAAAAGTGACCCAGCAGCGAGACAGGGACCTCCAAAGCACCGGCGCTGCTAACCCCCTCCCCTCCCCCCCTTGCTGCGCCGGATCCGGCCGCTGCCCCTACACCTCCTCCTTCCCCAGATGCGACTGCTGCTGCTGCTGCTGCTGCCGGCACCCGGCCGACCAGCACATCACCAAATTTGTCCACAAACAGCGCAAACGCGCCGTCCAGGCTAAAGCCGCCAGCGCTGGTCTTTTTCGGTGTGCGCCAAGCGGCGACGCAACGCCAAGATGACCCGGCAGCAGCAGCAGCAGCAGCGGCAGCAGCAGCGGCGGCCGCCTGGTCCTCTGGGGACGAAGGAAGAGCGGGAGAGGTTACTGGGGGGGTTGTGGTGGTCCGCCAGAGCCGTACGGCCTTGTCGTCGCCTCCCGTGAGCAGGAAATGGCCGTCGGGGCTAAAATGAAGAACACGGACAGGGCAGCCTGCGTGAGGGGCAGCCGGGGCTGCAGTCGTGGCCGGACTGGCAGTCGCGCCGCCTGATGGTGCTGCTGCTTGCTGAGGATTTGGAGCCGGCTCGAGTCGGACTTCCTCCCCCGTTCTGGGATGATGTGGGGAATCGGAGAAGGCGGTTGGTGGGGCGCAGTAGCAGCGAAGGGGAATTTTGTGGGGTGGACTTACTGGTAGTTGACAAAAGTCACACGGTTGCCCATGGCGACGCCGACCACGGAGTTGTTCGGCTGGAGCGCCAAAAGTCGAACCGGGGGATCGCCTCCATCCTCAGGCCGTCGCTGCTGCTGCTGTGCCCGTGCCTTTTCCGGGTTCTTCTTGTTCCAGCGCCTTCTTCCCATCCTTTGTACCTAATAAAAATTCGTCTTATAGGACAAGAACAAAGCCGTCTGGCGGCGCAAGGCAATGAGAACTCTACTAAGTCTAGTTAGGATTAAGGTAGAGGTAAAATCATTCACTCAATCAAGTAAGCAACCAGCTACTCGTGCTATACTGTCCTCGAAGCGGCCGTCAAATTTAAAGATTTATCATATTACCAAGCCTGACGCCCCCTTAGTACATAACATAATCAGTGCAACCAAAGCAATCAAAGCTTAAGCATGCTTCATCAAATGCAATTGCAGCCAAGTTTTAACCGTTGGGTACGACGAATGAACGGCAAAACCCAAACGCGCCAATGACATCTTGCTATCATCTCGACACCAGTGTGATGTGACCTGGCACAAGCGTTACCAGGGATACAATAATCTGTAGTGTATGTGTTTAATAATATCTTCCTAGCTCACAATTCATGCGACCAACGCCCACCAGCTAATTAACAAAGAGAGCCATATACAAACATTTCATGAAATAGCTTGTTACATGCTCTTATTTGATTAGAGCTGATAACTACAGTTGAGCGTACAAAACAACAGCGGTGCCTACTAACCGCCGTCAAAAGGTACGTGCATTTTAGGATTAGATTGTACAAGTGACGTACGGATAACATTATCTACACAATTAGTTCTGGGTATTCTGTATGATGCGCGCCAGTGCCCAAGCTCAGCTGCGTGTCTGAGGCAGTTTAAGCCTGCCTGATCGCCGTTCGCTTATGATATCCACAGGACGTTAACCACTATTGTGCTTATTCACTTATTCTAGACGTTACCCATATGCAAGGTAAGCTCAGGACGTATTGGCCAAACGGTACCGCCATTCCCATCAACCCGTCTGTGCAGGCCAATACATGCTTCAACGCCGAACACCAGTTTATAAGTCATGAATTGAAAAACGTACAGCTGATATCCGTGGGAGTGTAACTATCGCGGCGGCGTCACACCAGCCGCGGAATCATGCGCGAAGAGCATGAACGCCTGCAATTCAGCGCCGCTTCAGCTGAACCTTCTACTTCAAGCCGTTCATCTTTAACACATCTGGAACTCAGCACGTATGCATCCAGCCGCAGTCTTGGGTTGCGCACGCAGTCGACATGTCCCGATGTGTGGGCGGCAGCTCGGAATGCGCCGCAAGCGTCAATACTCAGCATCTACACGACAGTTCCACAACATTTAAAGTCTTATGTCAGAAGCAAAAATGAATCTTCATTTTCTTCCGTCTCCGAGCTTCAGTCTTTGCGTCGCCGCTGGGGCCGGTTGATGGCCGTCGAGCCACCAAGTCAGACCCTGTTGGGCGTCCAGATCGCAAGCGTCGCTAACGAGCCACCTATCTCAAACTTCTTGGATGTAGCAGCAGCAACAACAACAACAGCAGCAGCAGCAGCAGCATTATTAACAGGAGCAGAAGTCGCCGCATTATTATGGCCGCGGGACCAGGCTTCACCTGACTTAAAATCCACCCGCAGGGCAGATGGTGCTGGTGTGTTGGTGGTACCGCAGCCAGGCACCTGTCAAACCACAGTCACGAAGACGCGGCCTGCTGCAGCCAACACGACCTGCTCTGAAACCAACACGACCTGCTCTGAAACCAACCCAACCTGCTGCTCTCGGATCGGAGCCTCTGCTCTCTATCACTCGTCATCGCCGGTCGCCCGTCACTCTCCTAACCTTTCTTCGCAGACTCCTGGCGTGTGGCGGTGTAGCCCGCCCCCGCCCCCGCCTGGCCAGTGTGGGAAAGGGGAGGAGCCGCTGTGTTTGGTGGAGCAGGAGAGGCGGGAGCGGGGGGAGCAGGGGGAGCTGCTTGTTGCGGGGTGGGAGGCACCTGGACAGGGAGCTCTGGCGACATGGCATACACAACAGCATCAGCATCAGCATCAGCATCAACAGCAAATTCCTGAGGCGGAAGGAGAGGCGGACAAGGCGGAAAGGGAACTAATGGAAGCGAAAGAGCAGCAGCAGCAGCAGCAGCAGCAGCAGCAGCAGCAGCTTGGAGCGCAACCCGTCCAACACTACTCTGGCCGTGGTCGGCAGCCGTCGTACCTTAGCCACACCGCCGCCAAGCTCAGGGCTGGCGCTGCATTCTGGACAAGTAGTAGCAGCAGTAGCAGCAGCAGTAGCCGTGGCCAGTTTCCAGCGCTCCTAGCTGTGCTGCTACTGCTGACGATTCTTAGCAGCGGCGGCGGTGGCGGCGGCGGTGGCGGCGATTATTGGCGGGGCAAAGGTATAGGACCGGTGCTGGCCGCGGCGGCGTTCCTGCCGCCGGCGGCGGCCCCCGCCTGCATGGCCTACACCACCGCCGCTGCGCTGGCGGCTTGTACTCCGTTGCTCCAGAACTGCGTGTTATACATGTACTGTCCCAATCCGTGCAACCCCAACGTGGATCGATTCAGTTTCGTCAACTTGACAAGTAAGACGATGTGACCTAGGGGGGAGGACGTAGCTGCTGCTGCTGCTACTGCTGCTCTTGCTACTGCTGTGGGTGTGAGTGTTTCGTGGCCTCGGGGCTCCCGAGGATGCGTATGTATGTATGTATGTATGTACGCGCGTGTGGTTGGACCTCTCCAAGGCATGTCGAATATCAAAACGCTGCAAGGCAGAAGGTACACGCTTTGTGTCCGTGGTCGGCTGAAGTGGGAAAGCAACAAAGTGGGCGCCGTGCGAGGACCTATCTCTCAAGACGAGTGGAAGGGATGTAGACTAGTGCAGTAAGTTGGGTAGAGGGGCAATGTACGGAGGCATGACCATTCCAGCAAAACCCTAAACCTCTGAAACCATAATTCCCGAAGAAAAAGAAGAAGAAGAAGAAGAAGAAGAAGAACAGGAAGAAGAAGAGGAAGAAGAAGAAGAAGACGGGGCGGCCCATACAGTGAATGGATTCAGACTTCACAAGTTGTTGTTGTTGTTGTTGTTGTCGGGATTCCATGGTTGGGATTTACAGCGACAGGGACGGGGAGGTGGAGGGGGAGGACGTTGACCTGCAGCGGACACAGGGAAGAGGGTATCCGCGGGGGAGCCAGGTGGGGGGGAGTCTTCCTGGGGGCTGGTGGGGGACAACGGTTGAAGTGAGACCGCTGGAGGGGGAGGTGGTAGTGGTGGAGGAGGAGGGGGAGGAGGGGGAGGAGGGAGAGGAGGGAGCCTTTGAAAACTGCAGGGGAGCTTGTCAGGCAGCACTGATTCGCAAGAGTAACCAATCCACGACCTAAAGTTTACGAGGCGTAGATAAAAGTATCTTTTTTGGAATTTCGATAATCTGATGTGAGATTGTCAAGGCGGCGAGATAATTCACAGCAGGAACGTCCTCTGTACGGAAAATTATATGTTGGGTGAAATTCGCTTTGGAAAAAAAACAAAAAAAACCTTGATGCTATACGACACCAACCCGCAGGCTGCTCCATTCTAGGGAGGACGCTCGTCACAAACGGGAGCTGCGGCGCCATCACATGTGTTTCAACGACGCTGCAGCCTCTGTCACCGTTGCAGTCGCAGTCGCAGCCGCAGCTGCAGTTGCAGTTGCAGTCGCCACCGCTGCCGCCGTCACCGCCGCGGCCGCCGTCGCCCCGGCCGCCCCGGCCACCACCGCCACCCCCATGGGAAGCTGGTGACGCGCCTCCGCCAAACGGCGATTACCCATCGTACACCGACCCGCCACCTGATGACGGCATCCTGACGCCTCCGCCTCCGCCTCCAAAGCTTCTGCCACCAAAGCCAAAGCTACAGCCGCCGCCATCGCCGCCACAGCCTTCCCCCCTGCCGCCGCCGCGTCCCAAGCGTCCACGGCCGCCGCCACCGTCTCCGCCATTTGAAGCCATGCTCCAGCCGCCGCCACCATCACCGCCGCCCCCGCCGCCTCCCCCGCCGCCGCCGGCACTTCCGCTGTTACCACCGCCGCCGTCGTCACCCCCGCCGCCACAACCACCTCCTCCGGCGCCGCGGCCGCCGCCGTTCAGTCCTCCGCCAAGACCTCGACCCGCGCCACCATCTCCTAGACCGTCGCCTCCCACCGCAAGTCCTCCCCCGCTTCCTCCTCCCTCGCCGGCCCCACGACCTTCTCCACCCAAACCACCCTCACCACCACCCAGCCCAGCTCCTCCCAGCCCGCTCGGCACCAGCCCGCCAGCTGTCCTGGCCATCCCATCGGTCCCCGCGAGTTCCATGCCCAGCAAACTACCTCCGCCTCGTCCGCCCCCTCCCAGTCAGCCACCTACCCTGAGCCCACCGACACCGCCAAGCCCTATTCCGCCAAGCCCGCTGCCTCCCAGCCCTCTGCCGCCAAGCACATCGTCACCCAGCCCTAGGCCACCCAGCCCTGCACCTCCCAGCCCTAGGCCACCCAGCCCTGCACCTCCCAGCCCGCCG